CAAGGGGTTCCCCAGAGTCAGGGAGGGGTTTCTGTGGACCCTCATGTTTGTGAAAGGCCTCCGAAAATGCAGCTCTCTGACTTTCCACATGGGCACCTAAAAGATAGAAGTTGGAAGTGGGGCTGAGTGAAGTGGCCAGGACTAGGGGACAGGCCAGAGCACCCACTATGTCTACCGTACCACTGTGTGCCAAGCATCTCATGTGCTATGAGCATGGGCAGGATGTAGTCCCTGCCCTTGAGGAGGTGAAGCTTCTCTGGTTTCCTTCCAGTCCAAAGGGGCTAACAACCTCTACCCTTGCCTAGCATGGGATACTGTGAGATCATTCAGCTGGATTGCTGTCCAACTACATCCGTACAACCTTGCTGTTTGTAAGTTCTATAATTACATTTGACCCTTGAACAACTCAGGGGTTAGGGGCACAGTCAAAAATTCGAATATAGGGTGGCTCCTATGGCTCAAAGGAATAGGGCGCCAGCCCCATATACTGGAGGTGGCGAGTTCAAACCTAGCCCCAGCCAAAAAAAAAGAGAGAATACAATGTTAAAAAAAAAAAATTGAATAAATACAAAGAAGTCAAAAAAAACAGCAGGGAAAAAAATACTGCCTTAAAAAGTGAGCAAAAGACATGAATGGAAGTTTTCAAAAGAAGACAGACAAATGGCCAACAAACATACGAAAAAATGCTCAACATCGCTGGTTATAAGGGGAATGCAAATTAAAACCACCATGCTCCACCACCTTACCTCTGTCAGAATGGCCATGACTAAAGAGTCAAGAACAACAGATGCTGGCTCAGCACCTATAGCTCAGTGGATGGGGCACCAGCCACATACACTGGAGCTGGTGGTTTGAATCCAGCTGGGGCCTGCCAAACAACAATGACAACTGCAACCAACAGATAGCCAGGCGTTAGTTGTAGGCAACTGTAGTTCCAGCTACTTGGGAGGCTGAGGCAAGAGAATTGCTTAAGCCCAAGAATTGGAGGTTGCTGTGAGCTGTGACACCATGGCACTCTACCCAGGCTGACATAGTGAGATTCTGTTGCCAAAAATTAAAAAAAAAAAAAAGAGGCTGGCATGAATGAAGAGAGAAAGGAATGCATATACATTGTTGATGGGACACAAATTAGTTCAGCCTCTATGGAAAATAGCATGGAGATTCCTCAAAGAAATTGAGAAACCAAGAAAGGGGATGGGGGCGAGGGGGTCACACTTACCTGTCAGCTACAATGAGCACTATTCCTGTGACGGGCACACTAGAAGCCCAGACTTCAGCATTATACAATATATCTATGTAACAAAAACATTTGTATCCCCTAATATTTTTAATTTTAAAGAAATTCGAGTAATTTTGACTCCTCACAAACTTTATTGAAAGCCTACTCTTGACTGGAAGCCATAGCAATTACATAAACAGTAGATTAACACATACTTTCTAAGTTATATGTATTATATACTGTATTCTTTTTTATCTTAGAATATTGTAGAGTACAAATGCGCTTTGGTTACATGCTTTTGCACAAAATTATAAGTATGTCCCTCACCCAGATAGTATGCTTTATACCTGGTATTCCTACAATGAAATAAGCTAGAGAAAATAGAATGTTAATGTTTTTAATGTTTCTCATAAGGAAGAAAAACTTCTTTACTGTTCATTAAGTGGAAGTGGGTTCATCTTCATAGTCTTCACGCTGACTAGGCTGAGGAGGAGAAAGAGGAGGGGCTGTTGGTCATGAGGTCTCAGCGGTAACAGAGGTGAAAGGGGAGGCAGCAGAGACAGCCCAGCTCCGTGTGACTCTTTTTTTCTTTTTTTTGGAAACAGGGTCTCACTTTATCACCCTAGGTAAAGTGCCATGGCACCATACATAGCTCACAGCAACCTCAAACTCTTGGGTGCACGCGATCCTCTTGCCTCAGTTTCCTGAGAAGCTAGGACTATCGGTGCTGGCCGCAATGCTGGGCTATTTTTTAGAGACAGGGTCTTGCTGTTGCTCATGCTGGTCTCTAGCTCCGGCAATACACCTACCTCGGCCCCCTAGAGTGCTAGGATTACAGGCATGAACTACCGCGCCTGGCCCTTGCTGTGACTTCCATTCAAAAAAATCTTGTACACATGGACCCGCACAATTCAAACCGGTATTGGTGTTGTTTAAGAGTCAACTGTATTTCCTTTTTTAACCTTGGCATTTAGATAAGTTCTCTTTGAAAATATCAGCCTGTCTTAGCTGTATAAGCCAAAGGAGGCTTGGTCTGTGCCTCGCCTCTCCTGAAGAGGAGCCAGCACACCTGGAGGCTGGGATGGGTTGGGGGCAGAGGCAACAGGTCAAGGGGAGGAAGCCCAAATGGTGGAGTCCTCTCGGTAGTCTCTTCTGTCCTGCAGGGTCTCCTTGCAAAGCTTCCCTGTGCTCAGTGCCATAGCGTGGTGCCTGTGTTTCTCAAACGCTGGCGGCCCTGGGCTGTGCCCAAAACAACAGATTTCCCGTCTTACCTCCTGAAACTTCCCTGAATCTCATCCATCTGAGAGAACTCTAGCTTCCAAAGAGGCTAGATGTGATATTCTAATCCACAAAGGTATTTTAGAAGAACTGATATGATGGGGTGGGGGTCTCTTCCACTGCAGCCCCAGCCCTCCAGATAATATCTGTGTATCTTTAATATCAGTGCCTCCCAGAGAAAGGAGGGGGTTGTAATGTCATAGAAAGAGCACAGGGCAGCAGTGAAAGGTATGGGACCTGAAGCTGATCTCTAAAGCCCCTTTCTCCTTGAACATTCTGACATTCTACGATGTTTCTTCTCACAGTTTATGTGGCTTGGGACAAGGAGTTTGACATCTTTGGGGCCCAACTTTCTCACCTGTTTAAAATTTAGTTTCCTAAGGTCCCTACCAGGCGTTGATTTTGTGGTAGAAATGTTAGGTCCCTCTGGGACTGGCCAGTGAGGGAAAGTGAATGGCCAAAGGGGGCTTAGCTAATTTTCAAGCCAACCCAAGTAAATAGCAGTCACACACCATGTGGGCTCTCCTGCTCTTCCTGCCAGTAAGGACCCCAGCTCAGGGGAACCTGAACAGCCTAAGTGGGCTGGGGTGGGGTGAGGGGGGAAGGTGAGACCCAGTCAAGCATAGGGTAGGGGGAAGGGGGCTGGAGAAGGTGGCAAGAGGTCTGATGGCTTGCCTTGGGAGTCCAGCCCAAGGGTTTGTGGAGTCTTTGCCAAACTGGCTCAGCTGATGAGCAAAAGCTCCCCAGGGAGGAGGGGTGGGGAAGAGCGCCTTCCCACCCTGACAAGCCTCCAGATCAGACTTTCCAGCCGGCTCTGGCTACAACACAAAACAGCTTACTGACCTAATGGGCCCCATACCCCACCCTCACCCCCTCCTTGGCCTCTTTCTGAGTGGGGAATTGAGAAGAAACAGCCAGCCAAGGTTGCTATTGTTTTGTTTAAACCACTGGCTGGGCTGACATGGAAAGGAGTGAGGAGCCTGCAGCTGCCCTGGGTGCAGATCCCAGACCTCTCTGTCCTCTAGAGCTATTTGAGGAGGGCCAGGCTGATAGGCCTCTGTCACGTCCTCACCTCCTATCCTGGAAGAGACAGGCATGGAGAAGAGGGGTCCACGCCAACCCTGTGTCCTTATCGTAACCTGTCAGTCCCTGGCCACACTTGGGCCTGGACAATGCCAGCCCTGGGTAATGCCAGACCTGAAACGGGGGAGTCAGGGCACTGTGCCGAGAGAGGGGCATGGCAGAGCCGGGTTTGCACTGCTGTATGGGAAACTGCATTCAGTGGCTGCCCAGATGTCCCTGAGCTGAAAAGGACAGGCTTAGGCAGAATGGAAGGATGTTAAAGGAAAGCTATCTCACCCGCATCTGGGGCTTTCACGGGGGAGCTGTCCATCCTTCCCCAGCTGCCACAGGGGGAATGGACCAGTGGGGACCAGCCCAGGAAAAGGTATCTGGCAAAGAGGCCCCAAGTGAGCACAGTAGTAGACAAGCTGATCCCAAAAGGTAGAAGACCAGGTGGGTTCTGGGATGGACGAGTGGGGCTTTAGTTCTATAAAAAGGAAGCCACAATCTAGGGGCTGGGTCTCACCTTCCCCCCCACCCCTCCCCTACCACTCACCACCCCACTTCCCCGCCCATAAGCACCTCTGAGAGGCTTGGGGGAAAGGTGGCCAGGGCACAGTTAGGTGTTGGCAGACTCAGTTAAGAGCCACGCTAATCACCTTCATTAAGGCTATAAAACCCCACACCTCAGGGCCGCAGGGTCCCTGGCATGGCCCAGGGCCCTGAGCCGTGGCACAGACCCAGGGGCCCAGCTCCAGTTCCTTTCATCCGAGCATCTCCCAGTCCTGCACAAACAGTAATTAGCACCCGCCCCCAGGATCACCTCATTATCCCACAGACACTGAGAAGAGGGGAGGAGGGGGGGAAGGAAAAGAAGGAGGGAAACTGAGGCTGTCCTAGTGGCCAAAGAAATTCCCCTGGGGTTGTGATCTGAGTAAGCTAGAGGCTGGGGGAGACGCTGATGCAAAATCAGCAGCCTCCTGCCACCTTCCACTCCCAGTTTCTCAGAGGGCCATTGGCCTAATGTTCTAAAGGCTCCAAAGAGAGCTAAGTCCTTCGTCCTGAGAGGATGGGCTGATTAGCAAGTGCCTGAGAACTGTCAGGCCTCTGACCAGACCCCACAGGTTGACAGTTATGTCCTATGGCCAGCTTAGGACGCAGATGGCGATCACAGGGCAGCCCTTTGGGAAGTGAACTCTTAGGACTGCTCAGAGGTTTGGTGGTCCATCCCTCACCTCCAGGCCACCCTCAGCAACATCTATGTCTGTCTCCTCTCCCCAGACCCCCTGAGGTACCCATTCCAAAACCCCATAGCCCCATCCCCCAGGAGCAGCCATATGTCCTCCCCTCTCTTCATCCCCCTCCCTCAGAGACAGAAACAGCTCAGCAAGACTGAAGGGTGCTAGAAGTAACCCACGGCCCTGCCTGTTTCTTGTTTTAGGGCGCGAACATGAAGACAGGGATGATTCAGGGCCAGGAGCTAACGGGTGAGTAAGACCCTCCAGCACTCATCCCCCTGGGCCAGGACATCAGTGTTGATTCTAAGAATCTTGAATGCAGGCTGAGTATACCTGTAATCCCAGCAATTTGGGAGGCCAAGGCAAAAGGATCACTTGAGCCCAGGGAGTTGGAGACCAGCCTGGGCAACACAGCAGGACCCAATCTGTACAAAAAAGTATAAAAATTAGCTGGGCACAGTGGCACACACCTATAGTCCCAGATGCTCAGAAGGCTGAGGTAGGTGGATCACTTGAGCCCATGAGTTCAAGGTTATGATGAACTATGACCCCACCACTGCACTCCAGTCTGAGTGACTGCAAGATCCTATCTCAAAAAAGTAATAATTTTATTTTGACGATACAGCTTCATATTGCTGCTTCACAATATGCAAACACAAACCCAAGAATTTATTTGTATGCCCTGGTTTCATCTCCACTTCTGCCTCTTAAGGTCACTGTCATTAGTGTCTCCATTTTAAAGAGAACAGAACTGAGGCATAGACCAACCAGCACCTGTCACACAGCTAGCTAGTAAGGGGTGAAGCCGGCAACACAGTGCAGGGGTCTATCTGACTAGAGAGCCATGTAACCTCCTACTGCCCCCATGGTCTTCCCCAGATCCCCTTCCTCTCACATCCTCTCCCCCAAATATACCCCTGACTGAACGTGAAGGGGATTCTCAGATGCTGAGCTGGCCCAGAGCAAAGGACTGGGCGCCAAACCCAGCCTCACCCGCTGGTGAAGCAACATGAGCTTGGGCACCAGGAAAGCCTGGAACTGAATCCCAGCCCAAACATTTACTATGGGCCTTAACCTCTTGGAGCCTCAGTTTCTTCCCACTCAACTTAGGGAGTTGTGGGCAGAATGAAGGAGACATCACACATGGATGGAGGTAGCCTCGGGGCTGGCCCAGGATAGTGGCTTGTCACATGTGATCCCCTTCCCCTCCTTCTCAGGCCTCAAATTTCTAACTTTGGAGATTTCAAAGGGGAGAGCCTTGGTGAGGAGGTCAGTCTGCACCTCCCCTGAGATGGATTCCTGATTACACAGAATGAGTGAGTCTTCATTTCCGACCTGTCCTCAGAGAACTGCAGTCACCATCTTTAGCCTCGTGCGTTATGCCCACCCTTGGTGCACTTGTCACACCTGCCCCCACCCAAGCACACCAGGAAATTCCCAGCACCCACCCGTGCTCAGAAGTCTTTCTCCACACCAGTAGTGTTTGGGAAGAAACACTGATTTATCCCATTTACACACACACCACCAGAGACCCTCCAGACCAGTGTCAGGGCGTGTACACAGCAGCTCTTCTCACACACACATCTGCCCCGGGTGTAGCCCCTGAAGCACACAGCTCACATGGCCCCTGGCACGCCCTACTCTGCTCTCACTCTGAGCACACACACATCTGATCTGCAATCCAAGGCTGGGGGAGAGATGAATAGTCAGGAATTCCCCTGGCTATTGGCACGCTGGAGGCCCCAGCAACCGGAAGTGCATGATGAGGACACTTCCAACAGCTCCAAGCAGCAAGTCCAGCTTTTGTTTAGTGGTCAGAAGAGGAGAGGAGGGGGAGACAGCTATATTAAAGCACCAATGCCTGCTCCCTGCAGCCTTCTCACTGCAAATGCTCCTTCCCAGCCACCCCAGGAGGAGTCTTGCCTACAGCCTGGCTCTCCTTGGACAGGGAGGTGGAGAGAGGGAAGGGGCAAAGCACTCTTGGAAGGAGGTCTAACCTGCAAGACCCAGGCTGGGCCAGGAACACCCTGATCCTGCTTAGATGTGGGGGAAGGATGAGAGGTGACCCTTCCCCACTGTTCCCCCAGGAAAAGCCCTCATCCTGGAGGGAAGGGAGGGAAGGATGGGACATGGCCCCTCTTTCTGGTGCCCCAAGCACCCAGCTCCTACAGTTCCCATGATCAAACCTTTGAACCCTGTCCCACCCCACCCCCTATAACCACTTCCAGATCCTCCAGACACAGCCAAGAAATTGGCTTCTTTGGGGATTGAATTCATAAGGAAATGCTGAAAAAATAAATAAAAATCCACTGCCAAACACACTCGCAGAGGAAGATGGGTTTCTCCTGAGGCAGAAAGTCCATCAGGACAGACTAAAGCAAAAACAGGGCAATACCAACACCCAAAGGCCCCAAAAGCCCTGGGAGCTGCGCCAGCACCCAAGACCTCTGGCCCAGCCCAGGGCATTTCCCCTTAGACCATCTCCTACTCCATACTCATTGCCCAAAATATATACTTCCTAAATGAAGATCTTGAAGGTATCTAATGGTTTGTATGTGGTCAGCCCTCAGCAGGGACCCAAGGAGGGTCAGCAGTGACTGTGGATGGACGCAGAGCTCTGCCGTGGGTGGTGTGGGATGTGACACCCACCTTTCTCCTTTCTCCACCCACAGACTACCAGCCGCCCACCCCACCACCAACCACTGGCTTCCATCGCTACCAGTTCTTTGTCTACGTCCTTCAGGAAGGAGCGGCCATCACACTCCTTGAGATAGAAAACGAAACCCGAGGTAAGGCCTACCTATCCTTCATGGTGAATCTGGGGTGGGACTGATGCTTTGCGCATTCACAGGGAAGTCAGCGCCCTGACCCCCACCCATGAGCCTTGGAGACTGGACTTGCTTCTTGGAAACTGGAATGAGTGCCCTACGGGAAATATGAGCATCAGATATGGTCTCCCTGAAAAGTCAGTCCCCTTAGACCAAGATGGTGGCTTTAGTCCATCTATGTATAAGTCAGGGTTCCAAAGGGAGAACTAGAGTCCAGGAGAGAAGCACCCCTGAAACTTCACATGGCATGTGCAGGCAGCTACCCCAGAACACCTCTGCAGGTAATCATACCCTGTAATTGAGTCTCATGTGGGCAAGAGGGCCCTGGAATGCCACCCTGCCGGTCTGGCTTCATTGGTTGATAATTGCTGGGGCTGCCTGTGCCATCTCAGTGGTGGGGCAAAGACTTCCCCAGCTGTACCCCTCCAGCTTCTCTGAGCAGCCCCCCTCCCATGACTTCCTAATGGAAAACTCAGCCTTTCTGGCCTTGGTCCTCTGCCACTAGGGCCTGGGAGCAGGAGGAGCCATCGCTACCTGGCCACTGCCATACTCTGCAAATGACCTATGTGAGGCACAAACCCCATTTCCCCACTCCTGCCTGAGTCGGTGCACTCAGAGAAGGGACGATAATGTAGAAAGCGCCAATGCCAACTCAAGAGTACAAAGGGCACATCCCCAGGCTGATGGGAAGGTGAGTGGGAGGGTGGGTGTCATCAGCCATTTCCTCTCACCCAGTGACCCTGATCAACACCCACCCACTGGGAAGCCACTGCAGGTATTGTTACAATCCTGATGCCCCAGGCCTGAGAGGAGAGGAGAGGAGCAGAGCGTGGAGCCCAGAAAAGCTCTGGTTGAGCAAAGGAGCCCTTCAATAAAGGCCACCAATCTCAGAGGGCTCCAGGCTGCCCTGGGAGCAAAGCTACTGCAACCTTTCCACCAGTGAACCCTCCCCAGATGCCCTTAGCACCTTGCCAATCTGTAAATCTGTTTAAATGGCTTTGCCAAAGACACACTTTTAACTTTGGATACTAAGAAAAAATGTATCTGGCCCAGGCTAAGAAAAATTTCTCCAGTGCCCTGGGTACCAATCTCACCAAAGGTGTCAGGAAGCCTGGTTAATGATACCAAACTCAGCCTATGACAGTCCCCCACCTGTGGGATTTTTATAAAAAAAGAGGTAGCACATCTGAGGCCCACCAGTAGATTTGAGAGTCTCAATGCCTGTGCCCTGAACAGAAGCCTCTCACAGAGGCAAGGACAGAGCATGAAGTGACATTAGGCACAGTGAAAGGGGCAAGGGAGGGAAGGAGCTGTGTACACCAAACACACCTCCGGCTTTGCATGCCAGGGCTCATAGGGCTAGACTGCAGCCTGTCCGCCAGAAAACACGGTGGTCCATATGACCAGCAAAGGGTTGACCCACTCCTTCCAGGACTAAGGAAGCCAGGGGGAGGACCATCTATGGCAGATGGCGGCAAGGAAGCTGGAAACCTACTGAGCCTGAAACTCATTGTTTGTTCCTTTGGATCTTTGATAAAACACAATTCCTGGGCCCTTCCCTGGCCCCTACGACCACCTTTCAGACACAGGAAAACTTAGAAACTGGACTTGCAGCTGGGCAGAGTGCCTTTGGCTCCTGTGCTATTTTATTCACTGCCAGAAACAGAGGGAGGAAATGATCCACCCAGATGAACATTCTGGCCGAGGTACCTGTCCCACCACGTGATGCCTTCTACATGTTAGCACAGTGCTAGGAGTTTCAGACAGGGCACCTGGGATTTTCTCTGTCCTCAAGGGTCTTACAGTCTGCTGTGAAGCCGATTAAGTAGCAATGCAGAGTGGCTTATAATTACACATTCTGACTTTAAGAACACTGGGGATTGTCACATGGATTCAGGGACAGATCTCTTCCCTTTATAGAAGCCCCTTCCCTCCAATTACAGCATGCCCTCTTCAGCCAGGGAGGGTGGGGAGTTTTATTGCAAGGTGAGGAAATCTTGACTTCCACTCTCTGGCTAGTGATACGACTTTGGGCAAATCAGCCTCTCTGGGTCTCAGTTTCCTCATCTAGAAAATGAGGGGTTGGCTCTGGATAATCCACAGATCTCTGTGCCCCTGAGGCTGGGTTTTGGAGGTGGGGCATGATCTGGCCCTAAAGGAGGAAATTTGAATCCCTGAGTGAAGGAGAAAGGAGCTCTGGGTTGGGGAAACCCAGATTTAGGCTGTGGTGGTGGGAAGAACTGACCAGATCAAGAGGACAGAAGGCTGCCCCAAGCACCAAAATGTGAGGCAGTGAGGGCCCATCCTGGTGCAGAGAACCCACTAGCAGTTGCAAAAGCAGCCCTAGCAGGCCTTTGCTCAATGTCAAAACACCAAGGGCCTCAATGGACAGTGTTTGGGGACTCGTAGAGCCCCAGGCTGGACTGACATTCAGGTGGCCAGGGCACAGGGACTGCCAATGAAAACAGGCCCTAGGACTTGTCTTGGTCTAGTTTTCTCTCCATGGGAAGGGATTCGTGGAAAGAGGGCAGTGTCCTAGGGAGTATGATGTAACCAGCCATTTGTGTCCCCTGGATTATACACAAGTTTCTAGAGATCAGAGGGGAAAGACCAATCTACAGGAGCCAGGGAAAGGACCATCTATGGCAGATAGGTGGCTGAACCCAGTCCTGTTCAGGCCCCTACCCTCTCTGAGACTTAGGTGCAAGGAGAGATTGAGAGGATTCTAGTTGAACCAGCCATGACCATGTAGAGGGGTGGGAGGTGGTGCTGTGCAGAGCTATGGGGGTGAGATCCCCCACATTCCTCTCTGTACTGTGACTCCAGGACAGCACACACATGGTCAGCAAATGAGAAGATCCTGATGCCCCCAACTCCCATTGCGTGACCTTGGCCAAGCAACTCCCATCCCTGGGCCTTGATTTCTACTTCATCAAGATGAGGGATTAGACTGGTGGGTCTACAACTGAATGACCCTAGACTGATGATAACCAACTGGCCATGCTCCCCTCACCACCTGGAAGTAAATGATGAGGCTTGACTCACCTGGCCAAGCACACACACTGCCAGGTGGAGGCCTTCCATCAGATATGAGGTGAGGCACCAGGACCACAGCAAGGGCCCTAGAGTGGCTTAGGGTAACCCCACTTCTAGTGTACCATGAGCCCCACAAGCTGCCCCTCTCCTGCCTTTGCACAGCTCTTTCCTCTCCCACCATGCCCACTCCCATGCTTGGCATGATTCACTCATACCCTGTGCATTCACTTGGTACCAGGCACAATTCTGGGTGCTGTGAGAACAGAAGGGAGCCAGAGGACAGTGTCCTGCTCTCATGGGTGCCTGGCGTCACCCTGGTGTAGCTCTGTGACTAAGTGGAGTTCAAAGAGAGAGCCAGGGAGATATTCATACAGCTCACATATAACTAGGTCCCCAGTGGAGAAGAGGCAAGGAGACCTCTGAAGCCAAAAGAGTGAACTGGTGCTTCTGATAAGGGATGGCCTAGTGTCACCCACCAACATTTGTCCCAAAGGTCACACTTTACCTTCTTAGATGTGGAGCAGGTGTTCACTCAGGTCTGTGATACACTGGACTGGTACCCTCTGATTCCACATGACTGTCCCCTCCCAGCACTAACCCCCACACTTCCACCCCATGCCCCAACCCCAGGATCTGGTGTATCCATGACTTCAGACCAACTTGCTAAATGTCATGAAGGAGACACATCTGAAGCAGCTGCCACCAGCAGACTTCATTTGCATGCTCTGTATACCCCGTGCAGCCAGAACATCCCTGAGCTCCTACTCACTGTGGCTGACTGGGGCATCCTGTCCTGCCCTCCCCAGACCTGCCAGGCCTCCCCCACCTCAAGCATCTGTTGGGCTCCTCCTTCTACCACAGTCTCCGGAACAACCCACGGGGCTGCCTCAGACCACCCAGGCCCTCTCTGGCAGCAGCTCTACTGTCTGGCCCCCAAACCCATCCTCCATGTAGCATTCGCTGTAGGCCCCAGATGTCTGCTTCCTTTGTATCTCTCAGTCACTTTCCACTCACATCAGGCCTCCCTCCACCATGAGACCATAAATCCCTTGACAGAGGTGCTCGCCTCCCTTTTCTTTCCCTTCTCTCACCTGTCCCTACACCAGCCCACTGTGGCCTTTCAATCAGCGAGTGTCTGTGTAGGGGACACGCCATGTATACAGAGCCACAAGCCATTCAGACACACAGATTTGCACATTCTCACACCCCCACAATCACAAGCACACGTCAGCTTTCCTCAGAAGCTGAAAAGGCAGCCTCTTGTGACAGGCCTCGCATCCCCATCCTCCTTATCCCAACAGCCTCTCCTCCACCTCTCCGGCCTGCCCCAACCTTCACCTCATGGCCCTGCCAGGTGGGTGGGACAGCAGTCATCACCACCCCCAGGGTGAACGAGAAAACTGAGGCCCAGAACAGTGAGCGGCACGCTCAATGAAGAGTCCACAGTTAATAACCAGTCAGCTTTCTCCCAGTTTCCATGGGAGGGCCCATGACATCTGTCACCACCTTGCCCACAGTCCCTCTCCCCTGAGCTGGACCTCAAAACTTCTAGGCAGTGTGAGGACAGATAGGGGGCAGTGACAGCCACCTGGAACAGTTCATTCACACTCCCTCCTCCCTGGGTGAAAGCTGTGGCTCAGCTTCTTGGAGCTGTGGTCTAGGCCATGCCACACCTCAGTCACCTCACCTAGAGGTGTCACGAGCTGGCCTCACGCTCCTTAAGCCAGGGAAATCCCCACTGTGCCCCCAAAGAGGACATACTGACACTTGCTCCAAAAGCCACTCCAAGGCCCATGATGGTGCCTCAGTGCTTGGAAATAATGGGCGAAAGGGGTTCCAGTGACCACTTCAGAGGGGTAGCCTGAGGGCCTCCAGAGGGAAGAGTCACCCATTGCAAAATGGGAGGGGAGGGGAGGGACAGAGAC